TTGTAGCACCCAATCACAGTGCTTAAGGGATACAAAATAACCAATCCACGCCTGCAGTCCAGCCAGTAGCCCAAGGTGGGCAGCATCCTTTTGTTCCTGATATCTGCTTTCAGCCTACGTGAGGCCTTGCAGGTATCGAAGACTCCTTTGCCTACGTGAGGCTTGGCATATATCAAAACTCCTTTGCCTACGTGAGGCTTTGGCATATGCCCAGGCTGTTAGATGTGGATTCGCTGCTGCACAGATCTTCTTGTTCCACATGTAGATCTTTGATCATTTCCAAGAAGTGGTATGAGTTTTGTACATGTGAAGCTGCTGTTTCAGCATGGGGCTGTAGCTGTTTTGCTAAGTGTTTAGCTAGGTTTTGTAGTGGTGCTCCTCTGGAGCTGACTTTGGGTCTGAGAGGTATGCCTTCTTTGTGTATTTTTGGGAGGCCGTACAGTTTGGGGCATCTGGAAGATTTTTTCTCTTGGGATGATCGTCTGTTGGATCTCTTTGCTTATGTGGCTGCTTATAATTTTCTTCTTGGTTAATTTTTCCAGATATGTGGTTGGGTCTGTGTTTATGGGTTTGTATGTGGAGTCTTGGAGTAGGTCTGTCAATTTTGTTTCGTAGTCTTTTCTATCCATTACTACTGTGGCATTCCCTTTGTCTGCTGGAAGTATGATTATGCTGCTATCCTTTTTTAGGGCTTGCAGTGCTTTTAGTTCTTCTTTGTGCAAATTGCTTTTGGGTGGTTTGCTTGTGCATAGGATGTTAGTAACTTGGTGTCTTATTCTATCAGCTTCAACTGTATTTAATTTAGTTAGGCTGGATTCTACTGCACATATGATGGATTCTGTGGGGATCTGCCCAGCTCTATAGAACCGGTAGCTCTGAAGAGCAGCAGACACTGAACCGGTTCTGTGTTTGCTGCTGTTTGGCCCACCCACCCTCCCGGGCTCTTACCTGTCCTTTATTTCCTGATTTTTCAACCTCAGCTGCTTTGCGCTGCACAGCTGAGGTTGAAAAAGCAGGAAAAAAGAGGCTTTTCAAATGCACACCCGCACGCAGCACTTTTCAGTTGTCCAGGCCGGACATCTTAAGGTTTTTAACACACGTGCAGCAAAAATGTAATCACCAAACCAGTAGTAACACCTGTTGAATCCCACCCCTGCCTGGAGGTTTATCTCTGTCATCAGGGTCACCTGAGTAATGCAAATGGGTGTGTGTGGATGTGTTTCTCTGCTATGTTATTTTTTTAATCCTCTCAGGAAGGTCCTGCTACTTTCCTCACGTCTGTGAAAAAGAAGGTGAAGAATGTCAGCATTTTATTAAAGGTGAGTCCAAAACTCGTCGGGGTCCAGAAAAGCAGAAGAGCTTTAAAGAACTTGCAGGGGAGGACAGATCTGTCAGCCCTAGATTCCTTTCCCGTTTTTTGTGGCGGGATGTCACATTTTCAGTTCTCAGCCGCGTCTCTCTCAACCGATAAGGGCTTGGTAGGGGTTTTACATTTTCAAACATCAGTTCAAAAAGGGCATTTAAGAACCATGATGAGAACGTTTTTCCTAAAACTTGCCTTTTAGGCATGAAAGAACTTCTACATTTTTATGAGAAATTTCTAATACAGTAGTCCTTGACTTAGGAACGGTCTCTTAGCAACCATTCAAAGTTATGACAAGCCTCCCTAAGGGTACTTACAAAGCAGTTTTGTCAAGTGGACCCTCCCATGTGATCATGTGACTGTATTTCGGACACTGGGAAATTTGTGGACACTGGATTTATGGCTGTTTGCAGAGAGACCCATTGTCACATATTTGTGACATTTTTGTCCCAAACTGTCCCATAGCGAACTGTCATGCCCCTGTTAGAGTCTGAATCCGAGGAGGAAGACGAACAGCTGTCAGGGAGCGGGAGTGGCTCCGTTGGCTGTGGAGGAAACTGGGGAAGGGCAAAATCTGGCTGGGCAGAGTAGGGAAGAAATAGAACAAGGGAGAGGGAATTCAGAGGAAGACCCAGGCCCACCCCCTCTTCATCCTAGGGCACACAGGGAGGAATGGAGATGAGAGCAACATGGGTTGCGTGGCTTACCTGTTGTGGCCTGTTAGCCACCGGCTCCTCCAGCAGCCAAATCAGATGAGGAGGAGGAGTGGGACTCAGGATCAGCATCAAGGCAATCTGAGAGCTCTGAGGGGGAAGGAATGGAGCTGTCAGAGAGAGAGAGGCAGAGCCTGGGCCATCTGTCAGCCCTCAGATGGAGAGTCAACAGCCCCCAGGTCTGGAGGTGGCTGATAAGGAAGAGGAGGAACAGCTGGGTCCAGTGCCTGACGTGTGAATGCGCAGAAGGCAGAGGAGAGGAGAACAGTGGAAATCTATGGGCTGGTCCTTGGGAAGGAAGGGCCACCGCTGCTAGAGAAGCCCCACACTAGTTCTGGGGATAAAAGGCAAGGGGCAGAGATGAGTAGATGTGGCATACTATTCATCTCCCTGCCAGATGGACTTGTTAGCCTGTGATGAGATAAAAACTTTTTGCTGGGGCTGCTGGAGCAGCCCCAGCAAAAATGATAAAGGAATCAATGATTTAATCATCAATAATTTAAGGAATCAATGATAAAGGAATCATTGATTTAACTTCAGAGGGTTTGTCGTGTTTGGGGAGCTGGGTCAGAACACCAGGTCACTGAAGGCGGAGGTAGTAAATTGAAGGAGGGATGGAGAGAGGGATCTTCCAATGCTTTGTGAGCAGAAATCATTCCATCTTTCCAGAATGAGCTGACCGCAGAAGAGAAACACCGGACACATCAGAAAGAGCTGGCCATGCAGCTAAATGAAGAAGCCCACAGACGCTTAACAGAACAAAAAGGGGAACAGCAGATCCAGAAGTAAGAATTGTGTGCAATGGGAGCAGTAATGGGTTTCTCCTGTTTCCAACCTGGGGGCCAGGTCACATGCAGCTGAAGAGCCGTTCCTGGTCACGGGACAGGAAAGCATCCCTCTTTCCAAAAATATTGGAGCTTACCAATTAGAAGGGAATATTGGTTGCTCAGGGTTGAACTTTGGGGTCCTTCATACTTTCTGAGATGGGTGGTTTTCTTGCAGACATTTCATTACTCGACTAGCTGACATCATCACACTGATGACGTTACCTAGTTTGGTAATGAAACATCTGCAAAACAGGTAGTCCTCAACTTAGAACAGTTCATTTAGTGACCATTCAAAGTTACAACAGCACTGAAAAAATGGGACTCACCACCATTTTTCACATTTACAACCTTTGCCTCATCCCCATGATCATGGGATTGAAATTCAGAGACTTGGCAACTAGTTCATATTTATGACGGTTGTTGCATCCCAAGGTCACATGATCCCCTTTTGCAACCTTCTGACAAGCAAAGTCAATGGGGAAACCACATTTACTTCACAACCAGGTTACTAACTTATCAACCGCAGTGATTCACTTAACAGCTGAGGCAAGAAAGGTCATAAAAGGAGGCAAAACCCACTGAACAAATTAGGCTGTTGGTTTGAACTCCAACTTGGCAATTTGGTTGCAAACATTTCGTCACCATTCGAGCAGACATCGTCAGTGCATTTTGAGTTGTGCTTGTTTGTCAGAACACAGGTCTTTAAATACTTTTTTATGAGATGCAAATTAGTCTGAATGTGGTTCGGACATTTCTGAGTCATGGTCTGATTTCAGACTGTCCGATTGACTGACTGTTGTTGCTGGGCTGTTCAGTACTGTCTGTGATGCAGATTAGGATTAGATGGATCACTGAACAAATGTCTCACTTAACAGAAATTTTGAGCTCAATTTTGGTTGTCAGTTGAGGACTACCTCTACAACCGCCAAGTGCTAGAGCAGCAAGGACCCCCCATACTTGAGCTTACTTGCCTCTCTGTCCATTTTTTTCCATTCTTTCTGCTTCTTCACAGGGCATGCAAGTCAAACGTGTCCTATAAGAACCCGTCTCTGCTGCCTAAAGAACCCTACATTTGGGAAATGAAGATTTACATCGACAAGAAGTATGAGACTGTCATCATGCCTGTTTTTGGCATCACTACTCCATTCCACATCGCTACCATCAAGGTATGAGGACTTCCTTGAGCTAGGGTGGGAAAGGGAGGCTTACTCAAGTCTTAGGAAGGTACAACTCAGTAGACGTAGGAGCAGATAATGGCTTTGAAAGGGAAACTGCTGAAATGTGAATGTTGTGATGCCCAAGGAAAAAAAATAAATGGTATTTCTTTGTGTAGATGTGCTCTTGGGATAGGGCTGGGCATAGAAAGGGCCACCCTGTCACTGGAGGGGAGGAGACCCTCAAATGTTTTGGAGTGTCCTCTTTCTGGAGGAGAAGAGGGGGTCAACCAGGGTGGGATTCTACCGGTTTGGACCGGTTTGGGTGAACTGGTAATTCTGGTGAACATTTGGCCCCACCCACCCACCCCTGCTCTTTTCCTGTCCTTTTATTTCCTTGTTTTTGAGCACAGCTGATTTGTGCAGCAGAGCAGTTTGCCACACATCAGCTGTTTTACTCACCGGGGATGCAGCAGAATCCATGCAGCAGAATAAGTATTATAGCTAAAAATTGTATTTTCTAAATACTGTGCGCATGCACAAAGCGTGCATTTGGCACATGTGCAAAGCGCAAAGCACGCTCTCACCAAACCAGTTGTTACACCGGTTAAATCTCACCACTGGGGTCAACCTATTTACCAAAGCACCAGAAGGCAGGATGAGAAGCAATGGATGGAAACTAATCAAGGAAAGAAGCAGTTAAAATAATTATTCAGTGGAATGGCTTTCCTCCAGAAATTCTGGGAGCTCCATTGCTGGAAGTTTTTAAAAAGAGATTGGACAGCCATTTGTCCAGAATGTTATACGGTCTTCTGCTCGAACAGGGGGTTGGACTAGAAGATCTTGAAGATCCTTTCCAACTGTGCTATTTTTTTCTTCTGGTTTTCTCGTGTAGAACATCAGCATGTCAGTAGAAGGTGACTACACTTACCTGAAGATCAACTTCTACTGTCCGGGCAGTGCCTTGGGTCGCAACGAGGGCAACATCTTTCCCAACCCAGAAGCTACTTTTGTAAAAGAAATGTGAGTTAATGCCTCCCCAGGCATTGCAATTAGGAAGGTTCTTACAATGATGGCAGTTTGTGCTTTTATACCTGGGCTTCAGGGCTGGTATTGTTTAGTTGACTTTGGATTGTCTTGAGTTGGAGCCCATGCCTTGATGGCCTTCTTGGATATTGTGGATCTAATGAATGGGAATTCCTAAAGGTCCAGACCCCAGGCAATCTCTCTCCCCCTCCTTCATGCTCATAGCAGCCCAATCAAAGATACCTTCAGCGTCTTCACTGGTATCCTGCTAATGCTAACGCTGCTCTTCCTTCAGAAGATACCGAGCATCCAACATAAAAACTCCTGGGGAGCAGATGGTCCCAGTGCTCGACCTCCAGAATGCCTTCTGTATCATCAAGGAGGTGCAGCAGCGTTATAAAACCCAGGAAGCTGAGGAGAAAGAAAAGGAGGTGAGCCAAGTTTCCAGGCAAAGCATCTCCCAAAGATGGCTGGAGAAACTGAAGCGTGTTTGGAGAGATGTTTGCCAAAGTCAACAACCAGGAGAGGGCACCTTTAGAAGACATAGGCTCTGTGAGCAAAAGCAGCTGAACCTTTTACTTTTTCTGCAGGGAATTGTCAAACAAGACTCTCTGGTGATCAACCTAAACCGCAGCAATCCAAAACTGAAGGACCTCTACATCCGTCCAAACATTGCCCAGAAGCGGATGCAGGGATCACTGGAAGACCATTTAATTTGCAAGGTGCATGGAGCTGTGCCTCTGGGACCGACCACCACTTAGACTTTTTTAAGGCCAGGTAGCTCAAAAGCAGAACATTGAAAGAAGTTCCTCTGGGCTTCACTGCCATCTCTTGAGCAACCCCATCCCTGGAATTTTACCCAGCCCGCCCGCCCAAGATCATGTCTTCCATATTTCAATGCCCAAGAGGTGCGTTGGCTCTGGATTAATGACGTTGGAGATTGTCTCTGCTGCAGAGGTTCGAGCCCCAGCACTGTGTGGCAGGGTGAGCTCCCGTCACTCACCTCGGCTTTTGCCCACCTAGCAGTTTGAAAGCATGTTCTATGCAAGTAGATAAATAGGTACTACTTCGGGGAAGAGATGAGCTGGTGCTTGGTACAGGCGGTCAGATTCTTGCCAGCTTCTGAACTTTCCTGATTGCGACTCCTGTTTCTGAGGCAGCTCCAGTTGAGGAATGATGCTGCAGGAAGAGACACTTTTCTTTCTGGTGCAAAGCTGACTCACCCTGCTGTGGCGCACCTTGAGAAGCATGCAAATATGTCCCACAACAGAGCTAGTCAATTGGCAGCCAAACCACTACTCTGCATTCACATTGTGGCTAATAGAACAACGCCATACTCTAAATAAACTAAAGAAAAATGAATTTCCATGCCTGGGGAGGTTTTGCTGGCATTTCCAATCTGATGAACCAGATTGGCCTTTGCCCCTCATTCCAGCTTTTCTTCAACAGGCTTCCGTTTCACCTCTGTGCGGGGGGACAAAGTGGACATCCTGTACAACAACATCAAACACGCTGTATTTCAGCCCTGTGACGGGGAGATGATCATCGTGCTTCACTTCCATCTGAAGGTATCTTTTTTTTTTTAAACAAGTTTTATTGATTTTACAAACAAACAAACAAGACAAAACATCATTAAACATTAAAACATAAAACCTCTTTCCATTGTAGATCCTTACAAGGCAGGTAACATATTGCTTTATATCACATACTTATAATTTATCCCATTTCCATATAAACACGTAAATTCCCTTTACCAAATTCCACATTGTTTCTCTTTAATCATTATTCAATCATATTTCCTTTCTGATTTATCTGCTATCCAGTCATCAACTTTATATTTCCCTCTGGCTTGTTTATAATTATTCTCATCTAGTCTTCTTCCGAGATTTTATTATTTAATTCTTAATTAAACACACACACATAAAACACAAACATAAAAAACATAAAGCTTTCTTCTAGAAAGTAACTTGGCCCCAGATTACCTCTTTTTGTATGGACTCAGTTGTATTCACGCTTTTCTTATATACCATTACCCATCTTATTTACCATTCTATATCTATTATATAACTCCTCTCCACTTTTGCCTCATCTTAATTCTGTTTTATATATTTAATCTTGCTTTTTTTTTTAAAAAAAAAATATTTTTATATCTTTTGTCCATTTCTCCATTTACATCTGTCTCATTTCCAATTTAAAAAAGAATAGTTTCCCCTGGAATCACTAATCGGAGTATGATGCCTTTCTATCATTCCCCTAAGTTAAAATTTAAAATAACACCTAAATCCCAATCAGATTCTGCTTAGTACATTCTACTATTTCAAAAACCAATACTGCAATAATAAATCCATAACAATCAACACATCAATCCATTAAACTCTATATTCAAACTAATATTTTAAACATTCCCTTTAGTATTTTATTAAAACTTATTATCATTCATTATTAAACCTTTTAAAGTTATACCTTGATATTTTAGCCTTTTATTAGATCTTTAAAAGTTCTGGTTATCTACTTATAATACAAATACCACTATTACAATACTCATGTGTACTTTGCAGAATCCCCCCTTTTTTTAAAAAAAAACAACCATATATTATCCATTATCCCTAACAAAAATTTCCTTATCTCCATCTTGTCTTATATCTTTGTAACTTTTTTCCCCCTTTTCCCTTTCCTTCTTAGCCCACCTAAACTTTTTACCCCCTCCTCTCAAAACCTCTGTCTTCTTAATTTCCCCTTTCTGCATTCCTCTTTCCTTTTGCTTTCTAGCATTCTGTTGTTTTTGCATCTTCTTTTTCTCTTTCATAAATATTTTTTTATTTCTTAAGTCCTTCCTTTTCGCTCCTCTCTTTCTCCTTTCTTTCTTAGTCACGCCGTTTAGTTCATTAAAAATGGCTTCTTCTTCCTCGATTTCTTCAAGCTGTTGTTTAATTTGCTGACACATAGCAAGCGCCATATCTAGGAAACAGAGGGCTTCTCCCATAACATCTTTGCCTTCTTTCTTTGTTTTTAGATATTGTTTTTTTAGTTCATCAAGAGATAGAGCCATTTTAAAATTTCTTCTTCTCTTTCTGTATCCTCTTCTTAAACCAATCAGTTATTTCAAGGCTTAAAACAGTTCCCAAACGTCCCAAAGTCCCACAGTCATCAAACAGTCCAGGCAGAGTAAAAGCTTCTTCTTTTTACAGTTTCTCTTCTAGGGGTGAAGTCAAATTAGGGGAAGAAAATTCTCTTTATCTTCAAGGCATCTCCTCCAGCAAAATCTTAGAGTAAATATTGGCTTTCCCAAGCCTCTCCCTTCCCACGTATAACAAAGGAGTTTAGGTTTTACCTTCTACCAAAAGGCTTGCTTCCCTTTTCCATTTGTTAATTCCATAGGGGAGGGAGAGTAACTTCCCCTTTTCGTCACTTTTCTTCGCAGCTGAAAACATCAATCAGGAACATTATAGCTTCCAAGTCATTACTTTCCCAGGTGTTAAATATATCCTTAAGGTCCCAGTTCAACCAAGAAAAAACTTTCTTAAAAAAAAACTCCTTCTCCCTCCTGCGCATTCTTTATTATCCAATTGCCGGCTTCTTTATGGTGGCCATAAAAGACCACCGCTGGAACCGTCGTGAGAAAAGGGGGGTATTGCCGGCTGGGGGGGGGGTTGCAATGCTCCCCACCCCCGTCCGGATCCCCCCTCTCTTCAGCTGCCCCAAGGGCAGCCTTAGCCTCCAAATCCGTTAGGATCGGAGGCACCAAGGCGGCTAGCACAGCAGGAATCGCAGAGAAAGTGAATCCCTGCTGTTAGCAAAGCCGACAACCGGAAGTTCCCCATCTGAAGGTATCCTTGTGGCTTGGAGCAGGTGGAAGGCTGAGAAGATCCTCACAGGTGTGTTCTGACCCAGCCTTCATGAGCCCCAGTAAAACAGCCTACTCATGAGAAGAAACCCCTTTTTATTTAGAAAGGCAGGAATAGGCAGCATTCACTGACAAAGCTCCAGGTCACACATCCTTAGATGGTTCACAAGCAGGAAGCTTCAATCAGCATTTCAATCCCAACACAGAGTCCTGACCAACCTGGATAGTGGCAAGGAAATCCTGGCAAGGAATCCACTGAAGGGAACTCTTCTGGAGCATGAATGGTTGTCTCTGACAACCGCGCCTCCCACATACACCCTCCTTATAGCCCAGTCAGGGAGGGGCTTGTCAACATTTCCTTCTTTTCCTGGATAGCTGGCCCTCGGTCCTACGTTGCTCTCCTCGCCACACTCCTCTGCGCATACACACATCTGAGACAGGCCCCAGCTGTTGCTCCCCCTCGCTCAGACCCCGAAAACAGCTGTCTCTGCCTGAGTGTGAGTAGGTGGGCCCTGATCTGCATCTGACTCTGAGAGCTCCTTGCTCCTCAGCCTTCCACAGGCCCCGATGGTAACTCCTCCATCTCTGGCTTATCTGACTCTGCTGGCAGTCAACAAACCACAAGGTGGAAGTGGGTGGCAAGGCCAGACAAGGCCCTCGGTTTTTTTCCCACTAACGCAATCTGCTGCATTTGAACTTTCTGCAAACCCATGTTTCATGGTTTGCAATGTTGTGCAAATCCTGAAAATGATGGGTGCATCTCCTGCCTAATGCAGCCTCATCTTGAGGAGAAGTTTGGCCCATCAATTACCGTCAAGGAAAAGCCATTTCGGACATCTTTGCTGCTCTCCTTGTTACCAATAAAGGAGAACATTTGTAGCTCAGGATTGAAAGGAGCTCTCTGAGCTTGGTTGTTTTGGCAGATGTTTCATGACGCAAACTAGATAACATCATGAGTGTTAGTGTTTTACTGACTTGTGTATCACTAGCACTGATGATGTTACCTAGTTTGGTAATGAAACATCTGCCAGAAAACAACCAAGCTCAGAGAGCACCAAGGAGATCTTATTCTACCCCACCCCATGTCCAGTAGAAGATAACTCCCACTCTTACCTACGAACAGACTTTCTGTACTATAATTCTGCACAGACCTGAAACTTATCAGTTCCCTCTTTGCCCTCCAGAATGCTATCATGTTTGGGAAAAAACGCCACACGGATGTGCAATTTTACACGGAGGTGGGCGAAATCACCACTGATTTGGGCAAGCACCAGCACATGCACGATTGGGGCAACCACTATGCCGAGCAGGTGAGGAGAGGCTGCTTGAAACTTGGGGGGCAGGGTGGGAATAGAGTGAGCTGGAAGCCGGGAGACCAGTTGGGGGCTATGTTGACTGATTGATCCTCTTCGCCCCAGATGGAACAGGAGATGAGACACAAGTTGAAAACAGCCTTCAAGAATTTCATTGAGAAGGTAGAAGCTCTAACCAAGGAGGAATTGGAATTTGAGGTTCCTTTCCGAGAGCTGGGGTAAGGACTGTCGGTGGACTGGTAGCTTTTGTTTGAGTCCTAGAAGAGGATAGATTGATTGAGCTCACTTGAGAAAGCAGAAAGGGTGTGCAGGCTTCAAGACATGTTGTGATGGGTAGGTAGGTTTGTAGGTCAGTAGGTATAGATGGATAGACATAGATGAGAGAGAGACAAGGAAGGATGGGCAGGATCTTAATTAGGGCTTATTCTGGGGGATAGGGCTTATATTGGGCTCACATGTAAAAATCAAGCTAGGACTTACTTTCAGGGTAGGTCATATTTTCGGGGAAACAGGGTAATAGTAGAACTCATCTTGCTGACAAGCCAGAAGTAAACAACAGGGCCACTGCACACTGTTGAGTAAGGCCATAGTCTTCGACTTACAACCAGTTGCTTATGACTTAATGACCATTCACTGAAGTTACAAAAGATCCCATAGAGCAGGGGTGTCAAACTCAAGGCCTGTGGGACAGATCTGGGCCGTGGGGTTGCCTTGGAAACAGCGAAGGACCGGCTCACAATGCCTCTGCCAGAGAAAATGGAGAGCTCCATTTTCACTGGCAGAGGGTTGCAGGAGGCCGTCACAACTGAAAATGGAGCTCAGGACCCTGTTTTCACTGGCACAGCACTTGGCTGCCCACAGGTGCCCCTGACACAAGGGACCTCGGGCTGGCCACGCCACCCTGGCCCCTCAAGATCAAACACAACCCTGATGTGGCCTTCAATGAAATCGAGTTTGACACCCCTGCCATAGAGGTACTTACAACCCAGTTCTGAAATTCTGACCAGGCCACACCCAGAGAGACACCCATGATCATGGAACTCCATATCATGGAATTCCATAAACGGGCCCATATTTATGGCAATCTGTAGCATTCCTCGATCAGATTTGAAGATATTTGAAGATATTCTTTGAAGATATTCTTGCAGAAAACCAGCATTTGGCAAAAACGCCCCCCATCCCAGAGGGTTTCCTTCACAATCATGGCATTTGCTTTACTGTTGCCATGTTCACTTGACGACTGCCACAAAAAGGTGGTGAAATGGGGTCAGTCAAGTGGGTGACCAGCTGCACAAATGTCATGACTTACGACCTGTAATGGTCAGACTCCATTGCAGTCATCAATCAAGGACTACTTATATATTGTATTTTATTTGTTCCACTCCACTCCAAGGATCCAGTAAGTTGTTATTGGGCAAGGAAAGAAGAGTTGTGACTAGTGCCAGGAAATAAATCCCCATAAAAATGCCCCTAGATTCAGAAACAAGAAGCTGCCTATCAACACAAACATTGCAACTAGCCAAGAACTTGTAAAGGCAGCCACAACTTCCTCTAGGAATGCACAGCTGTTTTATGGAGTTGTAGGCAGGAGTTAAGTTTGCTCTGCTGTGCGCTCTGACACGCCTTCCTGCCTTTGTAAAAGAAGGGCTCCAAAGTCTTGGTACTGTCTATCAACCCAGGAGGGCTAGTCTCTGATTTTTTTGAGATTTTATGCAGATCTTTCCTATAAGGGGATTACCGCTGTCTGCTATTTTGATATGGCCTATGGGCTAATCAATAAACTGAACTAAACTGTCTGCTCTTTGCCTCCCTCATCTCGCACGAAAGGTTCAATGGCGCTCCCTACCGAAGCACCTGCCTGCTCCAACCAACCAGCAGTGCCTTGGTGAATTGTACAGAATGGGTGAGTGTGCGTTTGTTCTGGAGAGGCAAGGTATAAAGGGATGGTCTCAGGTTTGGATCTGGCCCTCAAGAGCTTAGAAAGCTGCAAGTCTTATAGATATACTCAGTCACCCAGGTCATGGTTATCCCAAAGGTACCTTTTCAGGAGGCAACGGGACTTTCTTGTTCTATTGAAGACATTTCCCTTCTCATCCAAGAAGCTTCTTCAGCTCTGACAAGACAGTGGGGAATGGAAGGATTTATATTCCTTGCAGACAGCTGGTCATTTGCATCCTTTTAGAGGGTCATTGAAGCATTTGGAGGTTTATCTGTGTCCTCAGGTGACCCTGAGTAGTGCAAATGGTTCCTGTAGTCTGCAATTTTTTTTCTTTGGAAATCCATTCCTGCTCTCACACCATTCAAAGGGAGTTCATCCCAAATTGTACAGCTAAAAGTCTGTAGAGATTCTCAGTCATCCCGGTCATGGTTGTCCCAAAGGTGCTTTTTCAGGAGGTAACTGGATTTTTTTTTAAAGAAAAAAAACAAGAAAGCTGCAATTCTTTTGTTAGACAGCTGCAATTCTGACTAGCTGGCAGGAGATGACCTACCACCCACAAAGAGGAGTTGGTTCCTACTAAGTAGGCCTTTTCAAATCCTCATGTGGCTTGAATGCTGTCTCGTCTCTTATGCATTCTCGTTAAGTGATATTTACTGATGGTTGTCTTCAGTATGCTAAGATTATGGTAACATGGTAACATGGTACACTGTGTTAGGAATGTAAGTCACCTAATAGTTGGGTTGGAAAATATATAAACCAGGATAGACATTTTAATACTGTCTCTTTAAGAGAATGCTAAAACTGTAATTGGGTGTGGTTCCTCAAATGGCCATAAGATAGAGCCAGAAACCTGGGTTGTTTAGTTCCTGTTCTGTCCTTTTCTGGAGAGTGTTGCCGTTCCTGCATTGACTGTTTACTGATCATGGTCAGTCTTGGATTTGATGTAAGTCTGTTACTGAACTGTTTTTGATACTGGACTTTGATATTTGGATTATCCCTGGACTGAAAACTGACTACTTTAACCGTGAATGACTTGGACTGCTTGTTTGGACTTTGCTTAACCGTTTTACTGGAAGTAAAAACCTACATTTTATTATACAGTGTATCTGTGTGCGAGTTGTGTGTTATTCTTCACTAGTCTCACTACGTTTCCCTGGTTGCACTCATTCTCCTAACGGGGAATTACCTCAACACACTGGCTCGTGTGGTTAGTAGGCTGGGGTGGAGGTTAGCAAGACCGTGTCCAAGACCTGAGTGCTGTCATGGGGCAGGGTTGAGCTCCAGTCCTTTGCTTCAGTTCATGCCAGGAACATGAAAAGAGCCCCAAACTGGGTGTCCCCTGACAATGGTGATGTCCTGGCTAATCCTTTCAACCGGAAGTGCTTCAGTGCTTCTGACACAATAGCAATGCCATTGTAGATTTGAGAAAAAAAGTCTGTGACCATTGTAGTCTAGGGCAGGGGTCTCCAAACTTGGCAATTTTAAGACTTGTGGATTTGAACTCCCAGAATTCCTCAGCCAACCATGTCCTTGCTCCCATGATATCCAATATCTCTGTTTGGAAGACCAATCGGATTTCCCTCCCTCCCTCCCTGCAGCCTCCATTTGTGGTAACACTGGATGAGGTGGAGCTGATTCATTTTGAGCGTGTGCAGTTCCACCTGAAGAACTTCGACATGGTCATCATTTACAAGGACTACAGCAAGAAGGTCACAATGATTAACGCCATTCCTGTGGCCTCGCTTGACCCCATCAAAGAGTGGCTCAAGTGAGTATGGACACATCCCTTGCATTGGTATAATTTTCCCCTGACTGGTAATCGTTGAGGTGTTAAGAGACCTCCAAGGTCCCTTCCAGCCCCATGAGGTTTATCATCTTCATGGTTTGGGTCCAGACTATCTGAGGAACCATCTCATCCCAATGGGAGTGACCCACGCTACCTGTGCTGGCAGAAAGGGCATATTGTGGACCCATCAGGTCAAGGAATTTTGGGTCCAGGCAAAGAGCCTTTTCTGCCATGGTTCCTGCCTTTTGGAACAGTGTACTCCCCGAGGTAAGATTCGCACCCACCCTCCTGACGTTCCTCAAGGGCTGAAGACCTGGCTCTGCCAGCTGGAGTGGGACCCCAATGGGAGTGCACCACCCTGGAGGTAGCTATCAGATTAACAGAAGAACCCCATGTTTCCTCATGTACTTTGTGCTCCGCTCCTCTCATCTTTCAATTGTAAATTATCATTGTCTGTTTATTTAAACTGTTGATTGCCTATCTTAGCACGAGGCAACTCTGGCCATAAAATTATAGTTTTATCATTTTAATGTTTACTGGTTTTTAATGTTTGTAAGTGGCTCAGAGTCGGCTCTAGATGAGATGGGCAGCACACAAATCAAATCATGACACTGGTAGATTTGTGACAAAAGGGACCCCAAAGGTGCTTTTTCAAGAGGCAACTGGAATCCTGGTTTTTCTTTTGAAGATGTTTCGCTTCTCATCCAAGAAACTTCTCCAGCTCTGACTGGATGTGTGGAATGGAAGGATTTATGCTCCTTGCAGACAGTTGGTCATTTGCATCCTTTTAGAGAGTCATTGAGGCCAATTGGAGGTTTATCTGTGTCCTCAGGGTCACCTAAGTGGTACAGATGGATGTGGAGCCTTTTTGGAACTGCTGAAAGGACTCCTGTAATTGACAATTTTTGCTGGAAATCCATTCCTGCTCCCACACCATTTGAAGTGTGTTCATCTCAACTGCATAACTAAATGTCTTTCGAGATTCTCAGTCATCCATGTCACAATTATCCCAAATGTGCTTTTTCAAGAGACAACTGGACTTTCTTGTTTTTTCTTAGAAGACGTCCAGTTGCCTCTTGAAAAAGCACCTTTGGGACAACCATGACCTGGATGACTGAGAATCTCCATAGAGATTGACAAAAGGGACATATTAGATACTACCAAAAGAATGCTCGTTCTTCTCAAAGGCAATGTTTCTGCTGAAGTGTCCATGTTAAGGTTCTTTCAGTGCCAATGAAAAATCGAAGGGGAATAATTACACCCTTACTAGTTAGTGTTTTTAGTAAAACACGTTCACATCTGGCTTTGTGAACAGAGTTCTCTTTGAGAAGTGGGTGTGAGAAAGGCTGTACGCTCATCTAGTTCTTCCCTTTTCATCTGCAAACACCTCTTGTGACATTAAGTACACTGAAGGGGTTCAATACCTCAACTGGACCAAAATCATGAAAACAATTGTGGATGACCCAGAAGGCTTTTTTGAGCAAGGTGGCTGGTCATTCCTCGAGCCAGAGGGAGAGGTATGCCGGATGAACCAACCTGGGCAGAAGGGAAGTGGGCAACCCAAAGACACACACAGCTCCCAGCATACCCACTTTCTTTGAAAGGTAGAGGGGTGTCAGTGCCAGAGTTTGAAAGAATGATTTGAGAATGGGGAAACTTGTGGGTTGGGTTGGGATGTGTGTGGGGTGTGGTGTGGTGTTATATAATGCAATGTATTTACAGTGTATGGAGATAGCATTGCAGGACATTTGTCTAACAAATCTAGAATCGTAGCATGCCTTCCTCAGCCTCAGGCATACCTCTTTCATAAGGGTCTTAAATCTGTAAAAATACACACACACACGTTGTCTTCCATTAACAGATTGGAATTGTTCAGATTCTTGTAATATAGTGTTGGTTTTTGAATCCAGAGAAGGAAGCTGTCTGGTACTAAGCCCTCAAACTCATAAAGGAGTTCAACTTGAATGTCTTGACTTCCTTAAGAGACGCCATTCCTGTCCCCCTTTCCTTCCCAGGGAAGTGATACTGAAGCTGGGGAATCTGAGTCCGAAATAGAGGACGAGACCTTCAACCCTTCTGAGGAAGAGTATGAACATGAGGAGGAGGACAGTGATGAAGACTATTCTTCAGAGGCAGAAGAATCAGGTGAGGAAAGAAGGAGAGTCAGTCTGGACTTCTCTGGAGGATTCCTTCCCTTGTCATGTATTGTCTCTGCCCCCTCCCTCTCCTTTTCCCTCTCTCTCTTCCCCCCTCCCCCTTTCCCATTCCCTCCCTCCCCTTCTCTCTCTTCCTCTCCCTCTCTCCCCCTCGTCCTCACTCCCTCTCCCCTTCTCTTCTCCCCCCCTCTCTGTCCCTCCCTCCCTTTCTTCTCCACCCCCTTGCTCCTTCAAGAGGTGTATTTTATATTAACTTCTCTGTACAGCAGCCAATCCTGAATCTTTCTTCTCTTTGACAGACTACTCCAAAGAGTCCCTGGGCAGTGAGGAGGAGAGTGGAAAAGATTGGGACGAACTGGAGGAAGAAGCACGGAAAGGTAAGCACCCTTCCCTCCTCCAGTTCTCTGTTGCAGAGGTCTCCAACTGGTGGTCCGCAGACCACTGGTGGTCTGCGAGTAAATTTTGGTGGTCTGCGGCGCACCCGGGTGGAGGAGCTGCTCCGGGATGATGAATGGGCCAGAGGCTAGGATTATGGGACCAGCCAGGCAGCTTGTGGTGGGGCTGGAAATTGCTGCCATAGAGGGAGGAATGTGCAACTTGCAACTTTGCAGGAGGTGCAAGGAGCAGCACAGCCCTCTCCGGCTGGAACGAGGTAATTGGTGCTATTGCGGCAAGAGGGGGTGGTATGGGGGGGTGGCGCAGGCAGGCCAAAGCAAAGGCTGTGGGCAACCTGCAGCTCTTTCTTCCCCCTGCTGTGGCTTTCTGTTGGTAGTACCCACCACTGCTGGCCCTGCTCCTCGCCCACCCCACCCACTCACTCCTCACCTGGGGGATGGAGATTTGCTCCATACTCCTGCTATTTCAGAGCGGGAGTGAAGCTTCATCTCTTGCTGGGTCTCACGGGCATTTCTTCTGGCCCTTGTTGGTGCTGTGCGACTGGGAGACACACGACTTTCTCTCCACCCCAAAACACTGGCTGGCCCAGCTGAGAGAGAGAGAGAGATGTGTGTGTGTGTGTGTGAGAGAGAGAGAGAGAGATGGGGGAAGAGAGAGATGAGAGAGAGAGAAAGATGTGTGTGTGTGAAAGAGAGATATTGGAGAGGGAAACAGATGGGGGGGAGAGAGAAAGAGAGAGATGGGGGAGAGAGAGATGTATGTGTGTGAGAGATATGTGTGTGTGTGAGAGAGAGATGAGAGGTGTGTGTGAGAGATATGGGGGAGAGAGATGAGAGAGAAAGAGATGAGAGACAGATATGTGAGAGAGATGGGGGAGAGAGGTGTGTGAGAGATATGGGGGGAGAGATGAGAGAGATGTGTATGAGAGATACGGAGGGAGAGAGAGGTGTGTGTGAGAGTGATATGGGGGGAGAGAGAGATGAGAGAGAGAAAGATGAGAGATGTGTGTGAGAGAGATATGGAGAGAGAGAGGTGTGTGTGAGAATGATATGGGGGGAGAGAGAGATGAGAGAGAAAGATGAGAGAGATGTGTGTGAGAGAGATATGGGGGGAGAAAGATGAGAAAGAGATGAGAGAGGTGTGTGAGAGAGAGGTGGGGGAGAGAGATACTAACTAACTTTATTTTTCTAAGTTTATTAATTTTACAATTAAAACAACACGTACATAAATGTGCAAAAGAAAAAAGAACAAAAAAGTAGAAAAAAGATCAGAAAACCGTTAAAAACACTTTCGTCCTCAACAGTTTGTGGGACCTTATTTTCAACCTTATCTTAAACCCTCTATACAATTGATCCTTGTGCGAATATATATATATATACTGTATAATCACTCCTACAATTGTAAATGTAGCAGAAACTCTTGCTTCCAAATCAGGACACAAGACCACGAAAGGTTGGAGAATACAGGTTTTATTTGTGCACAAGGTTCAGAGCATTAGCATGGCAAATTCTGAACCCCCAACTCTTCCTGAGACATTACTTTTATACATATCATGACCTCAGACTAAGCCGGGGCATTCCTTCTGTTACATTTTACCATGAAAGGAGAATAATATATGTACTTATATAAAGGAAATATAGAGGAAATGAGAAGTACAATTTTTGATTACTCAGTTATCTTACACCATCTGTTATTTTCCATGTCCACCCTTGTTTACAGTAACGCGGTTACTTCCAGTTCCTTACTTCAGCAGTTTCATGGTTTTGCACAATATTTTTACAAGAAGCAAAGCTTGGGGTCAGGGGATTTCTGATAAACATAAAAGTGCTTTATGTGTATATTTTAAAATGCTTCAATAACATATCTTCTTTTGCCCTTTATTATTTAATTGATCTTTGTTCTATCCATTCGTACCAGCAGTTCCAGCTGTCATAGTACATTGATGTTTCGTTTCCTTTTAATGCCAAAGTTAATTTGTCCATCTCTGCACAATTTGCTATTTTTTGAATAATCAATTCCTCTGATGGAATATGAGGTTGCTTCCAACATTGTGCAAAGGCCTGTCTGGCCGCTGTCAAAATATGTACAATTGTATACTTTATTTTTTTTTGAGATTTGTTTATTAAAGATCCCTAATAGAAAGAGTTCTGGTTTAAATTCGATCTGTTCTATTGTCATTTCCTCCAACCATTTTCTAATTTCCTGCCAACATTTTTTGCCTCTATACAAGACCACCACATATGGAAGAAAGTTCCCTCCTTTTTTTTACATTTCCAGCAATTCGCACTCATGTTGGGGTGCATTTTCGCTAATCTCGAGGGGGGAAGGTGCCATCTGTAAAACATCTTATAGGCATTTTCCTTGTAGGCTGCCAGTTTTGTGATTTTATTATTACTACTCCAGACCTTCTCCCATTCTATTAAAGTGATAGTACGTCTTATATTCCTACTCCAGGCTATCATATTCCCTTTGACAATTTCTTCCTCTAATTTGGCCTCTAGTAGGTAATTATAAAATTTTGTTATTTTTTTTTGTCTGGGCCTAATAGAATTTTGTCTAGTTGTTGAAGTTTATTATTGATTCCAAATTCTTTCTTATCCTGTTTGTATCTACTCTGTACTTGAAGATATGCCCATCTATCCATTTGTACTCCCTGGTCCTGAAGATCTTGCCACAATTTCAAATTTCCTTGTGCATCCAATAAGTCCTTGTATTTAATCATCTTTTTTTTTTTATAATATAGTTTATTAGTTTTTACAATTAAAATCAACCAACAATACATACACAAATAGGCAAAGGAAAGGAAAGAAAAGAGGAGAAGGAGAAAAGAAAAGAATTTAGAAAAAAGAAAGAAAAGGGAAAAAGAAAAAAGAAAAAAAGAGAGAGAAGGTTAAAAGCATTCTTGTTTTTACAGTTTGCAAGATCTTTTTTTTTTTCATAACCTTAATTTATGTCATGTACCCACACCTGTGCTTTACTTATATCTCTACCTCATTATTATAAGTTAATACTTTTCTCTTATGCCTTAAGATTTAAGAATTTATCTTTGGTTAATCCAATTGTACCAACAATTCCAGCTATCATAATATAATGAAGTGTCTTTGTTTTTTAGTGCCAAAGTCAATTTATCCATTTCTGCACATTTTGAAATTTTTTCAATGATCATTTCATCTGATGGAGTTTGATGTTGTTTCCAGTGTTGAGCAAAGGCTAATTTGGCCGCTGTTAAAATGTGTATTGTTATGTATTTGGCTTTTTTGGAAATTTGCTTATCAAAAATCCCTAACAGGAAGGACTCTGGTTTGTATTCAATCTGCTCTTTTGTAATTTCTTCCAACCAAGTTTTGATTTTCTTCCAGTACTTTTGGGTTTCTGTACAAGACCACCACATATGGAAAAAGGTTCCTTCTTTTTTCCTACACTTCCAGCAATACGGACTCATGTTAGGGTGCATCTTCACTAACCTCGAAGCGGGGAGGTGCCATCTATAAAACATTTTATAAAGATTTTCCTTATATGCTGCCGATTTGGTGATCTTATTATTTCTGCCCCAAACTTTCTCCCATTCCGCTAATGTGATGCTGCACCCTACGTTCTTACTCCATGCGATCATATTTCCTTTTACGATTTCTTCTTCTAATTCTGTTTCTAATAAGTAATTATAAAATTTTGTTATGTTTTTTTAATTTGATCCTAATAAAATTTTGTCTAGTTGTTGCAGTTTATTATTAATTCTGAGTTCTTTTTTGTCTTGTTTGTATCTGCTTTGAATCTGAAGGTAAACCCATTGATCAATTTTTTGTCCTTGCTCCTGAAGTTCCAGCCTCGGTTTCAAATTCCCTTGTGGGTCCAATAAGTCTTTGTATTTAATCATTTTGGTAATCTCCAGATTGTTTGGGTGAATCATTGCCTCCATTGTTAAAATCCATACTGGTACTTTTGTATAATGTTTTTTCCGTATTTTCCTCCAATTAGTTAATAGTGCGTCTCTGATTAAACGTCTATGGAAATATTTTTGACTGGTTTTCCCTACATCCCATAAAAAAGCATGCCACCCCCTTTGTAAATTGTGGCCTTCTAGAAATAGTATTCTTTTGTTGGTTAAATTCACCCAATCCTTTAGCCAAACTAACGAGGTGGCCATATGGTATAACTCCCAGTTTGGAAATGCTAACCCTCCCCTGCTCTTCATATCCTGCATTGCTTTTACATTTATTCTGGGTTTTTTCCCTTGCCAAATAAATTTCAGGGTTATTCTATTGAGTTCTTCAAAAAACTTTTTATGTAATTTAATTGGGATCATTTGGAATAGGTACAAGAATTTGGGGAGAATGTTCATTTTAATGGTGGCAATTCAACCTAGTAGTGAAATTTGAAGTTTCCCCCATAATTCTAAATCTTTCTTTACTTGGTGTATCAATTTATCATAACTGTTTTCTTTAAGTGTCTTACAATGTGGTGTTAGCCAGATTCCTAGGTATTTCACTTTCTTTGTCACTTGTATATGCATTGTTTCTTCTAGTTCTATTTTCTGTTTTTCTGTTAGGTTTTTAGTCATTAATTTGGTTTTTTTCCTATTTATTTTGAGTCCTGCTACTGCTCCGAATTTCTCTTAATTCACTCATCAATTTTGGTCCTCTGTCTTTTGGTTCTTCGATAAAGAAAATCATATCATCCTCAAATGCTTGCAATTTATATTCCTCTTTCTTAACCGTTAATCCCTTTATATCTGAATTCTGCCTAATTCGTGTTAATAATGTCTCTAATGCTAATATGAAGAGCAGGGGAGAGAGTGGGCAACCCTGACTCACTCCTTTTTCTATCTTTATTGGGCGAGTGCATTCCCCATTTACTATTATATTAGCTTGTTGTGTGTCATATATGGTTGTTATAATGTTTTCAAATTTGGTGCCCAAATTCAAATTATAAATTTTTTGCATTAAAAATTGCCAATTTAGATTATCGAAAGCCTTCTCTGCGT